TGCTCCTATGTAAAAACTACGGTATTTGAAAATCTGATGTTTGAAAATTTTTGTTTCGGTTTGAGCAGTAGCATTGTGTCATACAAAATGAATTTCGTTTGAGAAATTCTAATAAGTTGAATTTTTGTAAAACTGTAATTTTCACATCTGAAACTCAGGTTTCAGCTTATCCAATAATATTAGTATCAATTTTGATATTACAGATATTACCAAGACTTTTGAGTTTTTCAATTTTTTTGCGAAAACTGTGATGTCTTTTTTTTGGATTTTCGAAATTAAATAAAGTTTCCCGAGACCTGAGCCATTACCGATCTTCGTCGCTTTTCAAAAACCGGAAAAAACTCATAACCCGCCTTTCAGGGGACCCAGAGGCGGCACCTTTTTTGAATTTTTTTCATTTTCAACGGCGTTTTTCGAGGATTTCGGATTTCTTTTAAATTTTTTTTGCAATAATATTATGAAAATAGATAACTTTTAACACATTTTAATCTAATAAAAATTTTTTGTCGGAGTCCCCCTTTAAAATGAATAAACCAGAAAATTAACATTTATTATCAACTGATCAACTTGAAAAAAAGAAATCTGCTAAAATCATATTTATTCTCAAAAAACCTCAATTATGGAAAATGACAATACAGATTTTTTTTGAAAGTCTACAAATGCTTTTTGGTGAGTGGATAGAAAGGGAATGAAATAGAAAGCAATGAAGCTGGAACACAAGACATTTCTAGAACTCCCGTTATCTGTAGAACTCCCGTTATTCTAAAACTCCCGTTTTCTAGAACTCCCGTTATAACTTTTGTGCCATATTTTCTTCTGATCAATAAATTATTTTTATTATCATTATTATTAAGACATATTGAAACCGATGATAGAATTCAGTGTAGCATAAGTTTGGAGAATGTTTGCAGGAAATAGAATGACGAAAACGAGGGAACAATGAGCAGCAGGAATAAAATAATAAGATTGGACTATTGGAATCTATTTAGCTTCTCAATTTCTTGGTGAATAATCAAAAATTGATCCAAATTAATAATGGAAGAATCATTGTTTATTTCCTCAAAATATCCCTCTTCTTGGAACATACTGAGATTTGATCCGGCCGTAACCTTCTCTACCAGTTTAGTGGTCGTTACCGGCGTAACCAGCTGACAGAAGAATTCCATAACTTGAATTTTCTGAAAATGAAAACATTTTGAGAGATCGAATTGAAAGTCGAGGGAAACAAAACACTTACCGTCCACTTTTTATAATCCAAACAACAATTGAAGGAAAGAATCAGGCCTTCCAGATACTCAGCATTTAGATTTCTTTTGTCCTCTGCGATATCAGTTTTTATGACGAATCCTATTTCTTTGAAGCCGATAATGTCTCCAAGATACGGCTCCAGATCATTGTGCAATGCTAGAACTCTTTGAACCGACACAGGTCCGCGAGCTGCGATCTCGTCAGGCTCATCTCGGTGAATGACATCATACACCACCAGATGACCTCATTTCCTTCAACAAGACTCCTGGATTCGCTCTTGAAATCCTGGGGCAGGGTCAAATAGCGGGACATTCTTCATCTCGAAGTCATCAAATGCGTTTTGGATGTGACTGACTATCGGTGGTCTCTGATCCTCTTTTCTCGAACTTCCAAAAAGTGGTATGTTTTTCACGTCTGGTGGCAGATCCTCGGCCACTGTTTCTTGGCCATGTTGTTCTTCATCCACTGGAGTCTCATCTGGAGTGTCGATTCTATTCCCGTCATTTTCGCTCTCCATCTCATTCTCTTCAACTGCTTTGTTCAACTTCATTCAACTGCTTTGTCGCTTTGGTTTTCATAAATCTGGTAATCCAGCTCCGGCTCATTGAGATAGTCCACATCGTGGTGATCTGCCAAAACAACTTCTTTTTGATCTAAATAGACTTCTTTGGTCCGGTAATACTTAAGCACTTTGAGCGCCAACGACCGTTCCTCCAAGTATCCCACTAACTGAAAAAAAAAGCTTCAATGTCGATAATCAAGTTATTCCCACTCACGCTAATCCCGTCCACATTTTCTTCTTTTCCAATATAGAGAAAAACGTCTGGGTGGGTGGAAAGGCTTAAGCAGTACGTCTCCAACAGCCTCTCGAAAGTGTTCATTTCATTGGGCAATACCGAAATTTCTTTTTTTTTTAAGGGCCTTCAGTCTAGTGTATCTCTTTTTACTCAGCCAGTTTGAAATCTGTAAACATTCAATTTCATTATGTAAAAATATTCCAGTACTTACTCTTTTCCAGGAGCCTCCCGATTCCAATTCCAAAGCTTCGTCTGGTTCTTCAAGAAATTGACGTTTTTCGAAAAATTTACCCATCGCATCCTCGAACCCGCTCGGTTTGTTCAAATCCCGTTGTCGTCTTCCGGGACGGCTCTTAAAAAATTATCCATGAATGTTCATCTGTAATCATATTATAAGTTGTCACCTTCACCATTTCTGGATTGCGATTTCTTTTGTGAACGAACCACTTCTCTACCTGGAAATCAAACGTTTTTTAGATTGTACTTTTGATTCATCAATTTTCTGATATATTTTCAGATATACGAGTAATTTTTCGTTTGGAGATCTGGAAATGAGACATTCTGATTTTCACTTTTGAAAAAATTATTGTTTTTGGAACATGTTTGGACGTTTGTCATTCTAAATTTCGATTTGCATAACATATTTATTATAAAACTAAAACCGAACATTGCATTGTGTTAGATGGATAACACAGTCTGCTACTTAGGAAAAGTTAAGAAATTTTTGAAAACTGCTTTGAACACTTCTCTTGAAAATGATTTCAATGCTTACTTGGCGTATGCTGAGATTGGTTTTCTCTGCCAAATTTTCCCGCTCCTCTTTGGTTGAAAACTGTGTTTCACAAAACAGAGTTTGGAGAACTTGAACTTGTTCACCCGAGAATTTAACTCTAGTCCTTTTCTAAAAATGTTTATAGAACATGTGTTGCAACAGAAATCTATTACGTTCTCATCTTTTGCCTTTCTGGTTCGCTTCCGTTTTGAGATCGTCTCTTGAACGGGCTCCTCTGCTAGCTCATTGTCTGTTTTTTCCTCAAGAGCCTGAAATATTTATCTGGAAAATATTTCATTGTAATGAAAAACATATACCAAATCTCCAAATTGAAATTCCGGTTCTGAAGATGAACAATCTACGGCTGAGGAAAATGACGAAAACACATGTTTTTTTGAATCGACGATATTGGATTTTGTTTGAGCTGCATCCCTCTTTCTGCAAACATTTTTAGATGTCCTTTTGACTGACTCAGTGTCAGATTCAGATTTTGACAATGATAAAGCATATTTTTTGGAATCCGAGTTTTTCATTTTCATTTGAGACTTAGACCCTTCTCCAGTTTTTTTCGTAATCGGGCTATTTTCAAAGTCATAGTCACTTTCTTCATAAGTAACACGTCGGACAAATTTTCTCTTTGGTCGTGACTCCTGAAAACTCATTTTTCAAAAAACAGAAGAATTTTCGAAGAAGCTGTACCTGTAACTCATCTTCCGATTCTGACTCCGGATAGTTGAATGTTCTGCGGTTCTTGGAGTTCACTTGGGATGATCCTTGAGCGGCAGTAGCTTCTTTGCGACAGCTACCAGAGTGACGTTTGGCAATCTGAAATTATGCGGGTGTGTAACGCACGAGGAGAGAGTAAGACAACTGTACCTGAACAACATCTTCGGATTCCGATGCTGAGGAGTTGGCTCGTCTACTTCTCGTCAAATTGGATCTTCTGGGTGTTACTTGGGGTGAAGTGTCATTTCTACGTGATATCCGAGGACCACGTTTCACTACCTGTAAAAAAGGATTACTGTGTTAAAAACAAGAGGACGGAGACAGAGATTGAAACAGTACCTGAACTTCCCCTTCCGATTCTGAAGAACTGGCTGGTCGACTTCTCTTTAAATTGCCTCCGCTGGATGTTCCTTCAGTGGAAGCAGAGGCTTTGCCAGATCTCAAAACACTACGATTGACCATTTCTGAAAAAGGTTTGTTCGTGTAATACGCAAAGAGAGGGAAAGAAAGAGCGCGTAGCGCACTTTTACGAAAGGCGAATCATGTTTAAAAAAAACCACTCTGTGATGATGTAAGTTATTCGGCGCAAAAATTGTATGTCTTATTTTTCAAAACTTTTCAGAGTTCAAATATGTTCCCAAAAATTGAGCTAGACCAGTTTTGGTAATTAGAAAAGTTCACGAATTTCGTGATAATAATTTTAGTTCGCAGAAGTTTTCCATCTAGTTCCTGGACTATTCAAATAAAAACGCGAAATTTCGAGAACCGTGAAAGCTATTAAAACAGTTCATACATCAGAAACTCGTACATTTTTTTCTGGCCCGTAGAAAACTAAAAGAAATCAAGAAGAAAGAAAATCAATAGACTGTGAAGAAAGAAGACGACAGAGGTCCATGCTGTTTGTATGTGAGAAAGGGAAAACGACGAGGAGGACGTGATGCACCGTTGTGCGAACAGGCACCATTGAATAAAACGTTGTGCGCGCGGTTATTTTTTATTGCACCGTTTCTGACCTTCCTAGAGGGCAGTAGACCTATCCTCATCAATGTTATATTATGTTTGACTGTCCCAGTAAGTAAGAATTGTTGCGGAGGTCATAACATGGGATTGATTGGAGGTCCAAAGTGCACTTCGAATTTGTATTTGATTATTGCCTTGAAAAAAGAAATTTGCTAGAAATCATATTTATTTTCAAAAAAAACCACAATCATGGAATTTTGATACAGATTTAATAAGAAGTTTACAAAGTGCACGTATGTTTTTTAAAATATGGATGGGGAGGAAATCGAATAAGAAACAATAAAGGTGGAACACAAGATAAATATTCCAGTAAGAGGATTTAGTTGAACAGAAGTTTGGGAATATTTTGAGGAAAGGGGAAGTGGAAAATGAGGGAACGATGAGCAGAAGAAACAAAATAATATGACTGGATTATTGGAATCTATTTAGCTTCTCAATTTCATTAGAAATCATCGAAAATTGATACTTATTAATAAACTGTTTGCCTTCGTTAAACTATTTAAATTTTCTCTTATTTTCTAACATACTGATCTTGGATCCTGTTGTAATCTTCTCTATGAGTTTCCACATCATTTTCTTCAGAATCCTCAAGCGGTTCTTGGCTTTGATCTCTATATCCTGGGGCAGGGACAAATAGTGGTACATTCTTGGTCTCTTCTTAAAAGTCATCAAATTTGTTTTGGATGCGATTGACCATCGGTGGCTTCTGATTCTCTTCTCTGGAACTGTCTAGAAGTGGTATGTCCTTGACATCTTCTGACGAATCCTCGGGCGCTGTTTCCTCTGTTTGACCATGAAGCTCCGTATCTACTGGAGCCACTTCGGGAATGTCCATTTCATTACCGTTATTTTGGTTTCCCATGTCGTCTTCTTCTTGGTGGACAACTTGCCGGGCATCTTGGTTTTCCAGTTTATCCGATTCCAGCTCATTGGGATACTCTGCAATAGACACCACACCATTTATTTATAAGAATGATAACTAATACCAGTCTGCAGTTTAAAACCATGTTCTTATTGTTTTCCTAGAAATTGATGTTTCTGGAACAAGTTCTCTAGAATCGGCTCTGTTACGGTTTCCTTGAGCGGTCCATTCCAAAGTCGTCGTTGAACAAACCAGTTGCCGATCTGAAAATTAAATATATAATGAAAAAACAAAAACATTAACCTTATTCGCAGTCCAATTTGTTTTCTCGATAAGCTCTTTATTTCCATAGTCCATTATCATAAAATTTCAGGCGGGGTTTGTGGATCTTCCATCACTGCCTTGCAGCGACGTGTGAAGAAATCTCTTACCTAAAAATGAGAAAGTTCAGCAGAACAGCGACGTTTTAGAACCGATTTCTTATTTAAAAAAAACGTTACTGGGATTTTTTTTTTCTAAACAACACATTTTCCAAGCGTATTTTGCTGACTCACCTTAAAATCTCAATTATGTGACGTAGAAGAATATATAAAAATTTGAGTATGATAGAATATTATATGCTATGAATTTAAGGATTTTCAGAAAAATCAAAATGAATAGATTCTTGACGTCCATACAGAAGGACGTCTGGGAATCTATCGGGGTAGAGAGAGGAATGAATGCTAATGTTTGCTACCTGCCGGTTTATATAGGCAGAGTCGGGGGCGGAGCCTTCACCCCGTCTTCACTGTTCTACAGATTTATGCTGTCATTAGGACGCATAGTTATGATTTATGACTGTATTCTTTCCACTAATCTAACCGAAAATAGATAAGTTTGTCCCAGGAGAAATACCTATGTTGAAGAGGTAAAGAGGAACACAATAGAGTGTAGCTGTAGATAATAAAAGTTTTATGGTGTGCATACACTCAGGACCAACGAGGAGTTGATGGAGGATTCTCAAGGAATGTATTTCAAATTAGTCACCAGACAGTCAAACGTGATTGGATGAGCATTTTGTGTGATTTAAAGGAATACACTTTTTGATCTGTCAAAAGAACTTTCTCCTGTTCTACATGGACTTCTTCGGTCTAGTGATTCTCAAGCATTTCGAGCAGAAACGAACGTTCCATCAATACTTAGCAAGCTGAAAAAAACTGTAATGTCGATAATTATATTATTCGTACTCACGCTATCGCCGTGGACATTCTCTTTCTTTTCAATGTAGAGAATCACATCGGGGTGCGTGTCAAGGCTCAAACAGTACTTCTCCCTCGAAAGTGTTCATTTCATTGGGCAATACCGAAATTTCTTTTTTTTATAAACGCCTTCAGTGTAGTGTATCTCTTTTTGTCCAGTCAGTTTGAAATCTGTAAACATTCAATTTCATTATGTGAAAATATTCCAATACTTACTCTGTTCCAAGAGCCTCCCGATTCCAATTCCAAAGCTTTGTTTGGTTTATCAAGAAATTGACGTTTTTCATTTCAAAAAATGTTCTCATCACATCCTCGAACTGGTTCTGTTTCTTTGATTCGGGTTGTCGCGTGAACACTTTACCATCCACAATCTCATGTTCTTTTTGACAGGTTTTCAAAAAATTCTCTTAGCTGAAAATGATTGATGTTCCTACGAAATTTAACAAAAAACTCTTTCTCGATAACTCAGCCATCCAGTCTTTTCTCTTAGTTCCGGTTTTCCATAATCACAAAAAAACGGGTTTTGTTGGAAGTATTCCAACAAGATTGGTCTCGCTTCTTCTTCAGATAATACACGTGGGATTCCCGCAGGGATCGGTTTTCTCTGTCTTTGTGTCGAGAAATATTGTCCAACCTAAATATGATAGTGGGTGATTTTGAAAACTTCAACGTGTTTCTGAAATATTCATTTATAAACGTTCATCTGTTTTCAAAAAAAGCATTACCTTCACCAGGCTTGGTCGGAATCGGAAAATCGAGTTCTCGATTTTTCCGATTTTCCGAATTTTTTTTCGGAAAATTTTTTCCGTCGGAAAATTTTTTCTCGAAATAATCATGCTGCGTTCAAAGTGAAGTGGAAATCTCTACTTTGTATAGTTGAAGCGGGTGCAACAGTAACCCAAGCGCGGCGAGACCCGCAATCGGTGTCGATTTACGGGGTCGATTTAAGGTGAATTTTTTCAAAATAATTTTTTTTGAATGAAAACATACTTTAATCAGGGTTTTCATTACTTTTTCAACATTTTTTTCGGTTTATACTGTTCTTAATAGACTTCTTTTATTTTTTCATCTCTTTTCCAGATCTCCAAACAAAAAATCACTAGTACATCTGAAAATATTTCAGAGAATTGAAAAATTAAAATTACTATCTAAAAACTTTTGATTTTCAGGTAACGAAGTGGTTCGATCACAAAAGAGCTCGCAATTTAGGAATCGTAAAGGTAATAACTCATTTCATGATAACAGATGAACATTTATGAAGGCGTGTGGACTCATTTCATGATAACAGATGAACATTTATGAAGGCGTGTGGACTTATGAAGGCGTGTGGACTCTGAGCCGATTGAAAGGAAATCTAAAAGTGTCGGCAGAGCGAAGGATGCAGTTCAAACAAAAATCAAGATCACCGATTCTAAGAGAGATACTTCATCATTGTCGTCATCTTTGGATTTTTCAGAACTCGAATTTGACATTGACGATTCGGTATTATTTCTTTCATACATTACAATATTTTCAAATTGATATTTTATGCAAAAAATGCGAACGTTTCATATTCAGAATCGGAAGATGGCGTACAGGTACAGTTTACCGGGAAATTTCTTTGATTTCCAAAAATGAGTTTTCAGGAGTCAAGAACCAGAAGAAAATCCGCAAGGCACGTTAATTACAATGAAAGTGACAATGATTTTGAAGATAGCCCCATTAAGAAGGAAAATAAAAGAAGAACCATAGTTTCGGAAAACAATGATGCTTCATTGTTAGAATCTGAAATGGACTCTGAGCTGGTTGAAATTAAACCGAAAAGCGTTCGTGAAAACAAGGATACAGCTCAATCAAATCTCAAGATCGCTGAGCCCAAAAAAGATTATCCATCTTTGTCGAACCGGTTCTCGGATGAACAAATTCAAGTTCTCCAAACTGTGTTTTGTGAAACACAGTTTCCAACAAAATAGGAGCGGGAAAAATTGGCAGAGAAAACCAATCTCAGCATACGCCAGGTAAGTATTAAAATCATTTTTCAAAAAAGTGTTTAGAATAATTTTCAAAAAATTCTTAACTTTTCCACAGTTGTATATAACCAGCCTGCTGGCTTCTGCGCCTTCGGCGCAATTTAATATTTTTTACTGGATCTTCACTCCACCCCTCTATTCGATTTCTCTTTCTCACACAGTAGAACATATACGCCCTCCCTCCCTTCCATCTCTGTGGCCCTCATGGCGCAGTTGTGTGTGTGCGCAGCCGTTGTGCAACAGGCCGCTGGTTCGGTTTTGGTGGCGACCAACCTTTCATTTAAAAACCCAAAACCGGACAGACTGACACCGGGACCAACAGACGCGTTTAGCGTTTTATATGTAAGGAAGATTCTTTTCAGTTCCGAGCATCTCAAAAATAATCCTTTTTTCAGAAGAAAAACTTAGAACATCTCTTTTCCAGATCTCCAAACAAAAAATCACTAGTACATCTGAAAATATTTCAGAGAATTGAAAAATTAAAATTACTATCTAAAAACTTTTGATTTTCAGGTAACGAAGTGGTTCGATCACAAAAGAGCTCGCAATTTAGGAATCGTAAAGGTAATAACTCATTTCATGATAACAGATGAACATTTATGAATAATTTTTTAAGAGCCGTCCCGGAAGACTGACAAAGGAGCAAAAATCGAGAATGAACGAAGTTTTCGCTGCAAGCCGTTATCCGGATGAAAAGAAAGTTGAAGCTTTGGTTGCAGAACTCGAATTGACCACAGTACAAGTCTGTTTTTCCAACCAATTCGTACGAAACCACTCACTATTATTTTCAGGTGAAACAGTATTTTGCAAAACAAAGATACGAGAATCCGATTCCTGAAATAGAAGCCAAAGCAATTTTAGTGGAATACTTGCAACCAGACCCGAATTTCCATGATTACGGAAATCCGGAATTGAGAAAAAAGACGGGATGGTCAAAAATAAGAGTAAGGGATTTAATTCAAATTGAATAAATGCTTAGTAATTTTCAGCTTAGTGAATTCTTCGAGAACGTCAGAAGAAAATACGGAATTGTGAAATTGGATAAAAAGAGATACGATACACTGAAGACGTTTTTGAAAAAAGAAACTTCGGCGTTGCCCAATGAAATGGAAACATTCGAGAAGCTTGTCGAGAAATACTGCTTGTGCCTTCAGACGGACGCCGACGTGATTCTCTATATTGAATTAAAAGAAAATGTGGACGGCGATGGCGTGAGTGGGAATAACTGAATTATCGACATTGAAGCTTTTTTTTCAGTTGGCGCAGTATGTGACGGACCGGTCGTTTGTGCTCGAAATGCTTGAGAATCACCGCACCGGAGAAGTCCATGTAGAACAGGATGAAGTTGTTTTGGCAGATCCAAACGAGGTACAGTATCCCAATCAGCCGGTGTTGGACACTCCAGAGGAGCTTCTGGTTGATACTGAACTTTATGATCCAATGGAGGAAACAGTGCCCGAAACATCGCAACAAGATGTAAAGGACATACCACTTTTTGGAGAAGACGATCGGAAGATCTAGTCATATTATTATGTTCCTTCTCCTTCTCGTTCCCACATTTTCCTCTTATTCTTCCCTCAAAAAATGCCCAAACTTCTGTCCTACTAAATTCTCTCATTGGTTTTATCTCGTGGTCCATTTTAATTGTTTTTATTTCATTGTCGACGCTGAAACTTTTAATCTTTTTTTGGAGATTCTAGAAATTGCCCTTTTTCAATTTTGATTTTTTCTATTTTTCATAACTTCTTTGTTTGAAAAATTGGATTTTGCTGTAATTGAAGGATTGAAAAAAACCAATGAACCATAGGAATAATATTTATTGAAAAAAGTCCTAAATTTTTGAAAATTCTACCTGATGAAATGTTTAAAAAGTACACATGTGCTCCTGCAAAAATAAATAGAAAGGGGATGATTTGAAAAACAAAAAAAAGATAGACTAAAAGGTAAAATAAATAGCGATGAGAAGACTTAGTGGAACAGAAGCTGGGAAATATGTCCTGAAAAGAAGAGGAAGGAAATTAGGAAAAAAAGAGCATTCGTCTTAGAGAAGAAGAATTTCTAAAAAAAGAAAAAATACCACAATTACATTGAATTATATTGAAATGTATTTAGCTTTTTGATTTCTTTATGAATAATCGAAAATTGATATTAAATAATAAACTTTTCTTCAACTTCTTCACGCGGTTCTTGGCTTTGATCTCTATATCCTGGGGCAGGGACAAATAGTGGGACATTTTTGGTCTCGTCTTGGAAGTCATTAAATGCATTTTGGATGTGATTTACTCCCGTTGGCTTCTGATCCTTTTCTCTGGGATTGTTAAAGAGTGGTATGTTCTTGAATTCTGGCACAGGATTCTCAGGTACTGGTAGGTCTATTTGGCCATAAAGTTCTTGATCTATTGGAGCCTCGTCTGAAGTATCGATTCCATTCCCGCCATTTTCGTTCCCCCTCTCATCCTTTGCTTGCTGAACATCTGATTCGGCGCTTCGGTTCTCATTTATCTGGTAATCCAAAACAACTTCCTCTTGCTCTACATGAACTTCTCTGTCCCGGTGATTCTCAAGCATTTTGAGCACAAAAGACCGTTCCATCAAATACTCTGCCAACTGAAAAAAAAAATTCAAATTGTTAAAAAAAAATTGATAATGTTCAGCTGAGGGAATTCTTCGAGAACGCCAGAAAAGAACATGGAATTGTGAAATTGTTCAAACGACAACGCAATTCAAAAAACCCGAACCAGTTCGAGGAAGCAATGGGACAGTTTTTCAAAAAACGGCAATTTCTTGAAAAACCAGACGAAGTTTTGGAATTGGAATCGGGAGGCTCCTGGAAAAGAGTAAGTACTGAAATATTTTAACTTGCAGAAATTAAAAATTAACAGATTTCAAACTGGCTGGACAAAAAGAGATACGAAACACTGAAGGCGTTTTTGAAAAAAGAAATTTCGGTATTGCCCAATGAAATGAACACTTTCGAGGGAGAAGTACTGTTTGAGCCTTGACACGCACCCCGATGTGATTCTCTACATTGAATGGAAAGAGAATGTCCACGGCGATAGCGTGAGTGGGAAAGCTTAATTATCGACATTGAAGCAATTAAATCTCTTACTCTACGTCTTGACCATCCGGTCTGCTCTCTCAATTCCGTATTTCCGTAATCATGAAAATTTGGGTCTCGTTGGAAGTATTCCATTAAAGTCGGTTCAGCTTCTTCTTTAGATAGAACACGTGGAATTTCCCCAGGAATCGGATTTTCGTGTCTTTGTTTTGCGAAATATTGTTTCACCTGAAAATAAAAGTGAATGATTTTGTACGAATTAGTTGGAAGAACTGACTTGTACTGTGGTCAATTCAAGTTCTGCAACCAAATCAGCAATCGTCTTTTCATTTGGTTTACGGCTAGCAGCGAAAGCTTCCTTCAATCTCGATTTTTGTTCCTTCGTCCATCTTTCGGGGCGGCTCTTAAAAAATTGCTCATGAATTTTCATCTGTTATCATAAAATGAGTTATTACCTTCACCATTCCTGGATTTCGAGCTCTTTTGTGATCGAACCACTTCTCTACCTGAAAATCAAACGAAAATGTTTATAAAAAACTTGTTGCAAAAAAAATCTGTTACATTCTCATCTGTGTGATTTCTGGTTTCCTTCTGCTTTGGGATTGTCTTCCGAACGGGCACCTCTGCAAGCTCAATGTCCGATTTTTCCTCGACAGCCTAAAATATGAATTTGAAAACATTGTACTGTACGAAAGAAATAATACCAAATCGCCAAAGTCTAATTCGAGTTCTGAAAATGACTTATCCAAAGATGACAACGACGATGAAGCATCATTGTTTTCCGAAACTATGGTTCTTCTTTTATTTTTCTTCTTAATGGGGCTATCTTCAAAATCATAGTCACTTTCATTGTAATTAACGTGCCTTGCAGATTTTCTTCTGGGTCTTGACTCCTGAAAACTCATTTTTGGAAATCAAAAAAATTTCCCGGTAAACTGTACCTGTACGCCATCTTCCGATTCTGAATAGTTGTATGATCTGCTTTTCTTGGAATTCACCTGGGATGATCCTTGAATTGAAGTGTCGTTCTTGCGTGGTCTCCCAGGGCCACGCTTGACCATCTGAAAAAATATCTTTGGTTAAATGCAAAGGGGGGGGGGGTGGGAGAGAGAGAAAGGCAGTACCTGAACATTCTGTTCCGATTCTGAGTCTGAAGAGTAAGAGGTTCTTTTTCTCTTCCAATTAACTGCTTCGAATGTTCCATCAGTGGAACCAGTGCCCTTGCGGAGTTTTCCAATACTACGATTAACCATTTCTGAAAAAAATAATTTTTGTATAACACAAAAGAGGAGAGAGGGAGAGAGTACGTAGCGCATTTTCCGTTTCTTTGTACCGAAAGCAAATTATGGACAACGAGAATCTCTGTGATAACGTGAGTGATTCGGCGCAAAAATTGCATTTCTTATTTTCCAAAACTTTTTTCTGGAATTTTGTGTTAATTATTTCAATTTTCAAATGTTTTCTATCTAATTTCTGGACTACTCAAGTGAAAACGCGAAATCATGAGAACCATGTGAGCTATTAACAAAATGCCCTAACAATAAGTTAAGAAATATAACTTATTAGAAAGTTGGACATGTTTTCTCTGGCTGGACATGTTGTTTGAAAAACAAAAATAATTCGATAAAAAAGAAAAATCAATAAAGTGTGAGAAAAGAAGATGGTTGAGGTCTATGATGTTCGCGAATGGAAAAACGGCGACGAGGACGTGCCATTCAATAAGACGTTGTGCGCACGGTTATCAATCAATAATGTGAGAGTACAGGGGAGACGATGAGCAACAGTACATGCTATAAATGGTTGCACCTTTTCTGACCTTCCCAGGGGGACAGTGGACTCTCCTATCGGCATCGATGTTATGTTGTGTTTGACTGTCCCAGTAGGCCGGACTAATTGCTAGTGAAAATTCACAATTTACGAAAAAGAAACCATGTAATGAGATGCATGAAAACTGAAATGAATAGAAAGTGTATGAAACAAACCAATTAATTAAAATGATTCTGTTATTTTTAAAAAGTCTAAAAATTTATACATACTTTTTTGAGTTATAGAAAAACTTTAAAAACTGAGAAGAAGAGAAATCAATAGAATGTAAAAAAGAACGGTAGACTAAATGACATGCAAGTGAGCTAAATGACATGCAAGTGAGAAAGGGGAAACGACGAGAAGGTGCAACGTTTTGCGCATTTACATTAACATTTATTTATTTATTTCAACGAAGGGGAGAAAACCACTAACACGTGAAATGTCTATGAAACTAGGAGATATAATAGGGACATACATTTTTATTAAATGGGAGATGTAGGAAAAACCGAGTTAGTAATTAGTTGAATTCAAGACAAGAAAATCGCGCACTGATGCTATTCAATATGTGCGCACGGTTACCAGTCAATAATGTGAGAGTACGGGAAGCGGTTGAGCAACAGTGCATGCTATAAGAGGTTGCACCGTTTTTGACAATCCTATCGTAATCGATTTAATGTTGAATTTGGATGTCCCAATAGGTCGGACCAGCGTCTAAATGTTAGTGAAAACTCATGTATCAAAAATCATGTGTCAGCCAGGAATAAATTCTACCAGAGCGGTCATTCTAATACAGGTTTTACGGCAAGCGTTGTTTTCCAAAGTTTCATAATTTGAACTCATTCATTACCCAAAAAAAAAGTTTGATTTCTGATTCAAAATAAATATAACCGGGAATGAATAATTAATGATTATCTTAAATTGATCAATTATCTCCTAGCACTAACTGAGATCAGTTTTCCCCCCTTCCACAATCTTGTCTATAGTCATCTTGAGAATGATCGGAGAGGTCATAAAATGGGATTGGTTAGAGGCCCAAAGTGTACTAATTTTGTAATTGACTATTGCCTTGAAAAAACTGCTAAAAATTATATTAATTTTCAAATAACCTCAATCATGGAAAATTACAGATTTTTCGTAACTGTGAAGTATATTATTATTATTGAAAACAAAAAAAAACGCTGAATTACTATCACTCGATTAGTTAACTCGTTGAAAAAGAAATCTGCTGAATATCATATTTATTGAAAAATGTTCTCAATCTCTGAAAATTGTAATACAGATTCGATGAGATATTTACAAAGTGTACATATGCTTCTGGGAAAGGGGTAAAAGAATGAAATAAAAACAATGAAGATGGACCACGAGATAAAATAAATACCAATCAGAGGATTCAGTAGAACAGAAGTTTGGGCATTTTTTGAGGAAAGAGAAAGAGGAAAATGTGGGAACGAGAAACAGAAGGAACAAAATAGTATGGTTGGTTTATTGGAATCTACTTAGCTTCTCAATTTCTTGTTGAATAATCGAAAATTGATCCTCATTAATAAACTGTTCGCTTTCGTTCAATTTCTCCAAATGTCCTTCATCTTGAAACATACTGAGATGGGAGCCAGCTGAGATCTTCATTACCAGTTTCCTGATTGTTGCTGGATGAAACAGCTGACTGAAGAATTCCATCAATTGACTTCTCTGAAAAGAAAAAATTGTTTGGGAGATCAAACTGAAAGCTGGCTACTTCAAGGAAAACAAAACACTTACTGTCCACTTTTTATAATCATGGCAGCAATTGAACGGAAGTATCAGGCCTTCTGCATTCAGATTACTCTTGGCATTTTCGATCTCGTGGTTTTTGGCGAAACCAATCTCTTCGAAGCCAATAAGATCTCCAAGAAACGGCAGTAAATCATTGCACGATGCTGTAACTCTTTGAATCGATACAGGTCCGTGAGCTGGAATCTCCTCAGGCGCATTCCAAGGAATGACGTCGAACACCACCAGGCGCACTTGATTTTCTTCAGAATGCTCAATCGGCTCCCGGACTTGTTCTTCATGTCCTGGGACTGGGGCAATAAGTGGGACATCTCTGGTTTCGATGTTGGGATCGTCCAATACATTCTGGTTCTGATTGACCATCGGTGTCCTCTGTTCCTCCATATCCGATTCTGAAAAGTTGGATCGCATTCTCCTTTTTGAATGAACTTTATATGTTTCTCGAGTTGCAATGGCATTTTTGCGTGGTCTACCACGACCACGTTTGGCAACCTGTAAACATGATTATTAAAAATGTAAAAAAAGAAAAAAGTACTTGAACATCCTTTTCCGAATCAGAGTCTGAAAAGTCCGACTGTCTTCTCTTCAAAGTGGCCCCTTTGTGTTTTTCTGGAGCGGAGGTAGCGTTTTTACGCGGTCTACCTGGTCGACGTTTGACTATCTGTGGAGAATCATCTTCTGATTCTGAACCTGAAGAGTTAAACGGTCTGCTTCTCTTCAAATTGCCTGTTTTGGACGTTCCTTGAGTGGAGGTAGAGTCTTTACGTGGTCTCCCAGGGCCTCGTTTCACCGTCTGAAAAAATTATTGTTGTGTTAAACGCAATAGGAGGGAGAGAGAGTGGCAATACCTGGACTTCCTGTTTCGATTCAGATTTCTGAAGTCTTCTTTTTTTCAAATTCACTGCCTTGAATGATCCTTGATTGGAGGTAGCTTCTTTGTGCGGTCTTCCAACACTACGATTGACCATTTCTGCATAAGGATTCTCGATTAAAGCACGCAGCTCATTTATTTTGTACGGAATGCAAATCATGGAAAACAAAATGTATATGTGGTCACGTTAGTTATTCGGCGCAGAAATGATCTTTTCTCAGTTTTGAAAACTTTGTCTAGAAGGGGGATATTCTAAAAATTGAGCAAGTTAAGATTTGAAAATCAGAAAATGTCGGAAACTTCGTGATAATTCTTTTAGTTTGCAAAATTTCCCCATCTAGTTTTTGGGATACTCAAATTAAAAACACAAAATCTTGAAAACCGTGGAAGATTTTAAAACATTTTATACATTTTTCAAACAACTAGAAAAAAAAGCGGAAAGAAATTGCGAAGAAAAAAAAATCAATAGAGTGTGAGAAAACAAATGAGGTCCGTGCTGTTTGCAGGTAAGAATGAACAAAACGACGACAAGGACGTGATGCGACGTTTGCGCGTTGGAATCAGTCAATAAGACGCGCTGGAATCAGTCAATAAGATCTTTTTTATTGCAATGGTACTTTAGGTTTTAAAAATACTTGAAATTCAAAAATAATACTAACTGAAAACTGTTTAAAATTTCCGGAAGAATGAGAAAAAATCAGGAATAAGGAAGAAGGAATAAAAATTCAAAATTCCGGAAGACGGAATAAGGAATAAGGAATGAAATAACACCCGGAAGAAGGAAGAAGGAATAAGGAATTCCGCTCATCTCTGATGCAGACAGTCATGATTAGAAAGTGCTTGAAAGAAAATCATTAGACTAACATGATTCTAACTTTGAGCATCCAGTGAGAACAGTTGACTGCGAATCAGAAAAAAACTTTTTTCAGTTATTGGTTCGGTCAAACTGGGGATTCTGAGAAGTTCTAGAGAGGTTGAGGTATCAGCAAGGGACGAATGAAGATTGTGAGTTGGTGGAAACATTGGTGGAGAGGTTACCGAAAATATAATCATTGTTCAATTTGTTGCCAGATAAGCACGCAAGACCGATTGCAAAAATTATGAAGTTGAAACAGATGGTAGAGGTTCAAAACAGACTTCATAAAAAACCTTGACTATGATGAAACAGAAAGGAATTATGTAAACCAATTTTTATTCATCATATTCTTCGATACTGTCGCATAGAGCTGAGACTCTCTCTATAATCGCATAGAGCTGAGACTCTCTCTATAAAAGAAATGAGAAACGATATTTATTTCTCACACTTCTCGTTCGTTCAACATTATTGCATGGAAGACAAATAAAAAAAGAATTCAGTGAACCTCATGAATTATTTCTATCCCATTTTTTTTCTAAAATCATTCAGTTTTGTTCATTGTTCTTCTAATTTTGTCTCTTCCAAACTGCATCACTAAATATTTCAATTTTTGTGTATTCTTTCTCGACTCCCCGATAAAAATTGTTCCGTTGCAGTTTTTTATTTTCACAATTAGTAACCAATAGATGTTGCCTGTAGGGACGTTTACACAAACAAGAAGTGAGAATCAGAACCATGTTGGGGTCTAAAATTGAATTTTTGGGGGCCTTTAATGGAAGAAAACACAGGAATAGAGTGGGGTCATACTTAAAGAATACCAGATTGTTCAAATATAGGACCTCCACAATATTCTGGTAGGGAGCTACATATATTTTAATTATCAGAAAGCAATTTAAGATCATTGTTTGGAAATGTGGAAATATTTGAGTCCAACTTAGTTAGGCTGACTTTGAACCACTTCCATTTTGATATCACACTGAGTATGGGATGAATTGGATTGATAAGCTAAGGAAACGTCGAGTTGTAGTTAATGCGGGAGTGGAATGGTGACGAGTCTGGAAAACCGAAAAATCAGTGTATATAGCTAAGCTTCACTTTCTTGTGTAGCTATCGAACCCCTATTCATCGGCCCATACTCCCGGGGTACATCAGAATGGGGTACATCGGGGGTACATCGTGCTCATGGGGTACAAAGTCTCAGGGGGTACATAGTCTCATGGGGTACATTTTAGGTATAATCTCATGGGGTACATTTTTCGCTTTCTCATGGGGTACATCTCTGAAATACTCAGGGGGTACATCGCATTGTCTCAGAGGGTACATCGCATTGAATCTCATGTGGTAAACATCAAGTCGGATTCTACAGTTTCAGCGCTCATAGCTGCCTGATTTTTCCAACATTCGTTACATATTATGAGTGGTTTTTTTTGTTTTCCATGTAGTTATTCAAGAATGTAATTTCGCTTTTGATGTGGTTTGGAACAGAGATAACTGTCCAACATTATTTCTTTTCATTCATAATTCAGAAACATTTGGCTGATTGAAGAAAAATTGCCTATTGCAAGATATTCGGAGATTTCAGCAAATTCTCTTATACAACCATCTCTTATACTACTTTTCTCTTATACTACCGAGTCTCTTTTACTACCACTGTCTCTTATACTACTTTTTTCCAATGTGTCTCTTATACTACCGAGTCTCTTTTACTACCACTGTCTCTTATACTACTTTTTTTCAATGTGTCTCTCATACTACCAAGTCTCTTTTACTACCAAGGTCTCTTATACTACTTCTTACCACAGAGTCTCCCATACTACCAAAAGAAACAAGGCTTTCGGCCTAATCCTATAGTTGGCAAAAAATTTGGGGGATACAAGGGGGTACAACTGATTTAGGGGTACACAATTGGTGATTCGGGGGTACAAAATTAGTAGGTTCAAAAATTTGGGGGTGAAAACTACCAATGATTCTGGAGTACAACCCATTTCAAACAGGGGTACAACGCTTGTGATTCGGGGGTACAATTTTTTGAAGGAGTTTCTGAATTCCTGCATTCCAGAGCTTGAAAATCTCAGAATTCTTAGAATTTCAGAACTTTGGAATTTCAGTATTTCGGAATCTGAGAATTTCGGAACTTCAGAAACTGAAAATCTGAGAACTTCCGAATTTCAGAATCTCAGAATTTCAGAACTTCAAAATTTCAGAATTTCAGGGCCTCAAAACCTCAGAATTTCAGAACTTCAGAATCTCAATATTTCTGAATTTTCAAAAACTACGGCAGAAAATTTTCACTTCTTATTGTCTTTTGATTGTTCTTTTTGATTTTGTGTCATATATTTCACTCTTTATGAAAAAAAAATTGTGGAAATTGTTGGGCATTTGCTGGAAGGCATTAGTTGCTTTGAATTTTTGAGTCTCGAAATTTATAAGAGTCTCGAAATTATTCATTTTTTTCGATTAATTACCACGAAAATTTGAGCAAAAACTATGAAAAACGAAGGAAAACGGAGAAAAATCCCAAAATAAAATTTCCCAGTGATGACGTCATCAGTCCATGGCCGTGGCCGAGCTGCGGGGTTTTCTCTTCCATGGGAAATTTCGCAAAATTCACAGCTATTCGCAAATCCCATTTTTCTCTATTTTCCTTCATTTTTCATAGTTTTTGCTCAAATTTTCGTGGTAATTAATCGAAAAAAATGAATTTAATAGTTTTTGTAGTGTTTTATTGCCCAGTTCGAACAATTTTCGAAAGAAAATAGCTCATTTTGTGCCAATTTTGGGATTTTTGAATTTTTGTGGGAAAATCACTGAATTGTGATTGTTTCCTTCATTCAATAATTTAGAAAATTATGAAAAAATGAGAACATTTCAATTACCACGAAACTTGAGGAAAATTGAAAAATTGGGAAAACTTGAGAAAAATTGAAAATTGGGAAAAATTGAGAAAAATTGGGAAAAAACGGAAAATTTGGCTAAAAAAATTGGGCAAAAACGAAGGAATATTGAAAGCAAAAGGAAATGAAATAGAATTGAGAAAAAAACAATTAAGAAAAATTGGTAGTGAGGGAAGTATGGACTGGGGTTTAAAACCTAAATTAAACACTAAAATCCTGAGTTTGTGAAATTTGTGAAGATTATTTTACAGTTCTCTATTGTGTACGTTCTAGAAATTTCGAGACTCAAAAATTCAAAGCAACTAAGCCTTCCAGCAAATGCCCAACAATTTCCACAATTTTTTTTTCATAAAGAGTGAAATATATGACACAAAATCAAAAAGAACAATCAAAAGACAATGAGAAGTGAAAATTTTCTGCCGTAGTTTTTGAAAATTCAGAAATATTGAGATTCTGAAGTTCTGAAATTCTGAGGTTTTGAGGCCCTGAAATTCTGAAATTTTGAAGTTCTGAAATTCTGAGATTCTGAAATTCGGAAGTTCTCAGATTTTCAGTTTCTGAAGTTCCGAAATTCTCAGATTCCGAAATACTGAAATTCCAAAGTTCTGAAATTCTAAGAATTCTGAGATTTTCAAGCTCTGGAATGCAGGAATTCAGAAACTCCTTCAAAAAATTGTACCCCCGAATCACAAGCGTTGTACCCCTGTTTGAAATGGGTTGTACTCCAGAATCATTGGTAGTTTTCACCCCCAAATTTTTGAACCTACTAATTTTGTACCCCCGAATCACCAATTGTGTACCCCTAAATCAGTTGTACCCCCTTGTACCCCCCAAATTTTTTGCCAACTATAGGATTAGGCCGAAAGCCTTGTTTCTTTTTTTTTTTTTTTTTTTTTTTTTTTTTTTTTTTTGAAAGCCTTGTTTCAGGCCGAAAGCCTTGTTGGACAGTTATCTCTGTTCCAAACCACATCAAAAGCGAAATTACATTCTTGAATAACTACATGGAAAACAAAAAAAACCACTCATAATATGTAACGAATGTTGGAAAAATCAGGCAGCTATGAGCGCTGAAACTGTAGAATCCGACTTGATGTTTACCACATGAGATTCAATGCGATGTACCCTCTGAGACAATGCGATGTACCCCCTGAGTATTTCAGAGATGTACCCCATGAGAAAGCGAAAAATGTACCCCATGAGATTATACCTAAAATGTAGCCCATGAGACTATGTACCCCCTGAGACTTTGTACCCCATGAGCACGATGTACCCCATTCTGATGTACCCCGGGAGAATGGGCCCTATTCATCTTCGCTGTCCGTTAGCCGCCTGCGACCGCATAGCTCAGTTCGTCAAGAAAACAATGGTCTTACCTCCCCTCTTCCTCACAACAGAGGTCTCGAAACGCTCGGCAATAACTCTCAGCACATCTCTTGCTTTATCCTTCCCGACAAAGTTTATGATGTACAAGACCAAAACTTCTGCATTTCGAACTATCGGACTCTGAGCATATTTTAAGTTCAAACCACTTGAGAGACGAGTGAATGGGCGGTTCGGATGCTCCAGAATTGTGTCGACCCGTTGAAAAAGGTCTGCCACCACATTTGTATTTGTGGTAAACTCTTGAACATCCAATTTGATACTTTCTGGAAAGCCAATAATAAGTCTTTCACATTGGCATGGCGCGAAGCAGAGTGATTTGATTTTTGTGGCCAATTGGCGATTTCCAAGAAATTTGCTCATCAGATACTTCTGTACTTGTCTCAAACTCTTATTGTAATTGAAATGTTCGGTGTAGACAGCGCTGTTGAGAAACTGGATAATGAGGACCAAAAGAAAACAACATTTTCCAAGAAGATGGATCCCCCATCAATAGAAAAAATAATGGTGAGTAACATTATATGTAGAAATTTGGGCTAGTTGAGAAGAAAAGAAAAAAAAGTTAAAAGTCAGTTTTCCCTCCAGATGGCGTTGTACATCTCCGAATAACCAATAATCTGATAGAACTGAGCCAGGACTATAAGTAAATGAGGGAGAACCGCCCCGCTGAAGCTGCTCAAGTCTGACTTGCCTTTCGTTAAAAAATGCAAAATGTCATGTTGCACGGAAAGTCACGCCGTACCTGAGCCGCTTTGGCTAGACGGTTCTCCTTTACCCCCGTGAAAGTTCTGATTTTGTTGTATCAGATTATTAATTATTCGGAGATAAACACCGTCATCTGGAGCCTAAGGACTTTGACAAAATTGGTGAGAAAAAAATGTACCAAAGTAATAGTTTTATTCGCAGCCAGCTGACGGTTGGAGGGATGATATCCACAAGTTGCCTAAAAGCTGACGACATGTTGTGGACCACGACGGTACATACTGACAATCTTGGAATAATCTTTTTTTGTTTTATTTACTAATAAAAAAAATGGACAGTTACTTTCCTTCCAACCTAATAAATGCATTGCTTATTTATTATAAAATGTTCCGTTGTTTCCACAATCTACTGCCATTTGAAGAATGATCGAAAAAACCAGGAAACTGGATTAATTTGATGTCCAGAGTTTCTTCTTGTAACGGGTTAAAAATATGAGATCTCGAATATTTCCAATATACATGCTTCCTTAAACTTATCAGGTTCAAATTAGGTCGTCTTTTGGGAAAAACCCCGGGTAAACTGAAAAATTTCCAAAACGTGAAACCAATACACATATTTCCACGCCAATAACATTTTTGACACCTCAAACATCATTATCCAAAAACTTGAGACTATATTTTTTGCCATCCAATACTTCACAATGACCTTTTCCAGACAATAGCTCTTGAACATGTATGACCACCCGACATTATACAGTTCTCACTTTCAATCACCCCATCCACTATTCTATACAAAAAGACAAGGACATAAACCTAAAAACCAAGTCCCTCCACTTTGTAAGGTAGAAAAGGGAGAGAGCGAGGGGTTTTGGTCGGCATTATTAAACAATAATTTGAGTTTCGATTGGATGACTTTCTGTCACTCGTCTTCCGTCTTGCTTTCCATGATACGTTTGTAGTCGTGTGTTGCTTTGGGGGGGGGGGGGCCTGACGACGCCAATTGTCTATCGGGACCCACCGTGAAGCTAATTGGAGGCATCTAGCGCGACGTTCCCCTTCATACACGGTTCTATTGCTTTTCTTATTTGTTTTTCAGGCTTATAAGAACTTTTTGTACTTGCTTTCCATATTTTGCGGCTAGAAAGTTCTACGTTTGGCGAATTTAAGGAATTTTGATATTATTTTTTCTAGTATTGCCTATTTTTATAGTTTCATTATTTCCAGATGAAGAAAAAGCCTGTAGAAAGAGATGAGTTGATAGATCATGCATCTCGTATCGCCTCTTTGATCTCGATTTTTCTCGTGGTCTCTTCCACAGTTATGTATATTTTCATTGGTTTTAAAATAGACAACGTTTCATTCAAGCTTCACCATCACGCCAAAGGATTTGAGGTAAGCCACCTTCATGAACAGTACCGGTCAATTTCGGTAGATTTTTGACCATTTTCAAGAGTCTAGAACTCAGCTGTTGAGATTCCGATGACTTTGAAAGTTTTAGAGCGTTAAATAGACCTAGATGGAGAATTGATAAAAAGCTGAAAAACTTGGAATTTAAAAAGATTTGGAAATGCAAAAATTTCAATCTAGGTCTGTTTTATATCCTCTGAAACTTTAAATTTGATGGGAAATTTAACAGTCGAACTGCAGACTCCCAAAAATGGTCAAAATAGGCAAAAATCTACTAAAAAGTATGTTTTTGGTTATCTTATTGACCGGTACTTTATAAATGTATATTCTTCTTATCACCACTACCTCATTAAGATTCTAAAATACGACACCGAATCAGAACTGCTGCACGTCGAAGATGAACACATTCGAACATCACGTCAGGCGTGGAGAAAACAACAACAACGATGGAGAGGTGGTGGTGGCAACGGGGCTGGAAACAAGAGAAAGTCGCAATTTGAAGAACCAAAGATCTGCGGTAATTATAAATGAAACTATTTTTAAAAACTAGTTTCTTTTTTGAAGATTGTACGGTTATTGACTGTCCGAGAGGGCCTCGAGGACCACCAGGAGATGATGGAAACAGTCCGATAGATGGGAATCCAGGTGACCCCGGAAAAGATGGAACTGATGGAATCTACCAAGTCGATGAACCCGATTGCCCTCCATGCCCTCAAGGTCCGCCTGGTGAAGACGGTCTTCGTGGTGAGCCAGGAGAACCGGGCCGCCCTGGAATTCCAGGAGACCCTGGACGACCTGGAACCAATGAACCTGGAACAGTTGGTGCTCCGGGAGCTCGTGGACAATCTGGAAGAACTGGATTGAAAGGAGACCCGGGAGAAGCTGGTCAAGATTTTGTGCAGCTTTCTGGGCTTCCAGGTCAAAAAGGTCTTCCTGGACCGGTTGGTTTGCCAGGTGCTAGAGGAGACCCTGGAAATAATGGAAAACCAGCACCGCCGGGCCCTGAAGGTTTTCCAGGTCCCGTTGGAGATCCTGGCGATTCTGGAGAGTATGGGCTACGCGGTGTACCAGGAAGACGTGGGAATCCAGGAAAGGATGGAGGTTACTGTCAGTGCCCGCCAAGAGAAGGTTTTGGAGTGTCCAACCGCCAAAGTATCCGAGTTGCCAGCTCCAGACACCGGGTAATATTCTCAAAAAACTTAGTTTCATTGCTACGGCAAAATATTTCAGCCTTCGAATAGTAACAATGACGCCGTTGATGATTATGATGTAGAAATTGAGAGGCAGGCAGCTCCAAGACGGGCACATCAAGCACAACAGCAACAACACCAAGTCCAACAGTTTCAGAGGAAGAGATGGCAGAAACGTATGTTTCCCGAGATTTGAAAAAAATACTATGATTTCAAAATTCAATTTATCTAGAATCAAGAAGACGTTGTACTGTACAGTTCAAAAAATATACAAAACGTTTTTCACTTGATTTACAGCCATTGCAGGACCATTTGCAGGAGTCTAAAGCTCGGTTGTCCAGTTTCCGAAAATTCCTAGTTTTACAGTTATTTTTTGATTTCTGAGAGACATCTATGTTTTTTAACGTTTTCAGCAAGAGGTGTCTTTAAAAAATTGGCTAATATCTGAAAAACTAGGAACTTCCAAAAAAATTCTGTAAATGAAAAGTTTTCAGTTTAAGTTTGTTTTACACCCTTCAAAGTTCTCAAATGATCAGAAACTTGACCAGCCGAGCTACAGATTCTTAGCAAAAACAACTAAAAAAATGTTTTGGTATGTTTTATGGTACTGTTTCAAATACCAATATTTGTGAAGTATTCAGATGTAAAATTGCATGCCGATACCCATTAAGTTTATCTACTGACCCTTTAGAAAAAAATGCGACAAAAAATGAAACTTCTACACATTATTTTTATACATATATTTTTCAAGGCACTGACTTTTTGACACGTCAAACGTCATTGTCCAAAAACTTGAGACGTTTTTGAGAACTCAATGACCTTTCCCAGCCAATAGCTTTTGAAAATGTACGACCAAAACATTATAAAGTTCTTTCTCTTATTGCCCGATACTGCACATAAAGCTTTCATTGTTTCTTATTCCATCTCGAACGCTTTTGGACCGTACTTCTTCATTCTTTCCCATTCCAGCTTCTCCACAAAACCAACGCGACATGTATGTCAACGCTCGAAAAAACGCCCACTCGGATTTGATTGATGTCGGAGAAACCAGCATGAGGTGAGAGTCTTCCTCATCACTCACTTTCTCCTCTAATTTCTTATATGTTCATCTTTTTTCTTCATCCTTTTTTTCAGGAGGTCTCCAATGGCGCCATTAATTGCTTACAAAGATTCCAGAGAAGAAGGTCATACGAATGTGAGTTTTTTTTGGTTTTTCTGGTTTCTCCAAAAAGTAGAATTCAGAATTTTCAGAGAGTGGTCATGCAACGAGGCTCTAAAGCAAACACCGTGGATTTTGAGCTTCGATAATTTCATAAGCCAAATTTTTTTATTAAAACAACTTTTTTCTACTCCCTGTTTAGCTTTTTATTGTTTTCATTCCACCAAAAAATAAAACTCATTGTTCTTTGTCTCTTTGTTATGGATAGCTTAAACAACAACAAAAATAAGAAACTCTTGATATTTCACCTGAAAAAGGTAAAGACACACCCAGGAAACAATTATTCCCTCAATTGTCCAGAAGACGGAAACTTGGAGAAGGGGAAAAACGTACATACGTTTGAGAAACAGCAAGAGGTGCATGTGAGCACTGAACCAGAACTTCGGTTACATTATAATGTTCTTCTCCTTTCGCTTTTCATGGAATATAAGTACTTTTTTCATCCCGAGGTATCCCAAGAAGAGGTAGCCCAAGAAGAAAGAAAATTAGCATTTTCCGCTCCTCGGGACAAATTACCCCTCGGCTTGGTGGATACCCCGGAAGACGTTTTTCTTCCAGTGGACATATAAATCACTTCCTGAGCACCCGGCTTGCCCATAAATACTAGTGTCCAAGCGTTTTCTTCGTCTCATTTTGTGTTATTCAGGTTGTATAGATTGTTATTCAGATTACGATTGAAAGATGTCTCGTCCAAGACATGCTGATGATATTTTGAATATTAATGTTGGCGGGAAAAAATACACGGTGAGTTGTGATTTTTATTGTGTGCAGTAGTGGTTAGTAAAATATACAAACGTTTTTTCAGTTGATTTTCAGTTATTTTGGTTATTTTAAAATATCTGGAGCTCGACTATCTATGTAGTTTCAATCGTTTTGAGAATATTGGAGGGTGTAAAACAGACCAAGAATGAAAATTTTGCATTCACCGAAAATTTTGAAAGTACCTTGTTTTCCAGTTACTGTCCGATCTGAAAGACACCTCTATTTGGCCTGTTATTGTACTTTGTTAAAAATTTTTTGAAAATGCTTGGTTAATCAGACCTGTTTTACACCTTCAAAAATTTCAAGGTTTTCGGAAACTTGACAGCCGAGCACGACATTTTTGAAAATTGTTTAATTAGACGAAAATCAAATGGAAAATATGTTTTTGTGTATCATATTACTGTATATTCATCCTATTCTTCATAATTTAGGTTCGCCGCACTGACATGCTCGCTGATCCAAGATCTAAGCTTGCTGAGTGGTTCAAACCTGGAACTCTGAAGCCAATTGCAACGGACAAGGTTTTTAAACATTTTTTGTTCTAAATCTACCAATTTTTTTCAGGGTGGTAATTATTACCTGGACCGTGACGCCAAGTGCTTCCGTCACATTTTGGCGTATCTTCGTTTGAAAAAGGAGAAATTCGTTCCATCGCTGGCCCTGCCAAGCAAACCGGATGATCTTGCCAAGTAAGGAATTTTTAGTTGAAAGTTACTTTTTTACCGTGGAGAGGCAAAAGGTTTATTTTCTCATTATATACCGTAACTTAAAAAATATTTGTTCCCCTTTTCTTGAAAAAAAAATCCCATTTCGAAATACACTTTTCCTCCTAGATTGGTCGGTGAGTGTGAGGCGTTGAATTTGGCGGAGCTCAAAGAGCTCGCCCTCGACTTACTTCAAAAGTACCAGAGAACCGAGGAGCAGCACTACGTCACCTCATACGTTCAAGTCACTCTTCGCGACTTTGAAAGTTGGCAATTCGAGCGCGAGCAGGTTCGTGTCTATTTTTGAAAAATATCAAATCGATTTTGAATTTTTAGAACCAAATCGCTCTCAAGAAGAAGCCAACCAATGAAGAGGAGTACCAACCAAACTCAGCGTATGATGAGTGGGATAATTTGTAAAAAAAGTTAATTTTTGATTGCTTCGATTTTCTCAGCGCGTTTTACTCTCATCTAACCAGCCAAAACGTGAATTTTCTGATATTATATTTATTACCGAAAAAAATACCGACTGAATAAATTTCGTTTCCGGCTTTTCTTTTTTGTTTTGTCTTTGGAAATCCTTTTTTTCCGAAATCGTTCCTTCAAACTTTAGTAATATGTAGCTGTGCATATCCGTTTTTCCAGAAATGATATACGAAATGATTTTTCGGATCCAAAATTTGATATTTTTACAAGAAATCTCGTGAAATATTATTAGGATAGTCGAATGGCCCCCACTAAGCTACACGGATGTGATTATGAGAATGGTATAAACATTTTTTTTTGATGATGTATTCCATTTTTAGATTCAGTTTTTGAACTACAAAGGCTTCAAAAATCCTTTTTTTACAAATTTTAATAATTAAATTTGCTTCATAAAAGTTCAATTAGACTGTTCAAAAAATGTATCAGGAGAGGAAGAAAGAATGGAACCGATGTTCTTTTGAATGACTATTAACAAAAACCGTACAGTGTGAGGAAAAGGAAAAATCTTTGGTTTCGAAGTGAATTTGAAATTTTGAAAAATTAAAAAAACTAGCGTGGGGGGGGGGGAGGGGTCAGTAGAAAATGTTCAAAAAACGACAGCAAACACATAAATTCATGTAGACAAGAGTATCGAATACTTGCAGAAAAGTGGTTGGACCATGATAAAAATCATGCGGAACTTTCCACAATGAGACATGGTCCGGTGGGCGGCTCTTCATTATTTTTCGGCTTTCTGATAAATGTTCCTCCTTGAAATTTTGGGCGATCTGTCATAAGCCATTCTTCAAGTTCGTACTGTTTTTCAAGCTCCAGGTAAAGTTCATTGTCGACATGCGCGAGGAGCTATAAATGAATTATTTAGAAATGGTAAACTGGCTTTTTTTTCTAAAAAAGAGCAAAAAATCTCACCTCGCCAGCACATTTTCTCATGTACCCTTTCAAATAGTCGACACACGTTTTGAAATCTGGACGTACATCCGCAAATTTGTGCCAGCAGTTTTTCATGTGTCGGTAGCTGAAATTAATAACTTTTTCCAAGCAGTCACCATATTTTTTTCGAACAAATGCTCAGCCGAACAGTCAAATTTCAGCTCATTTATAATGAGGAATGTTGAACATCTGCAAAATGATAATTCATCATAATATCATCAATATTCATCAGTTGGCAAATGTTTGATATCTTCCACAGGAATCGAGCTAATTGAGCTCAAAGTTGGCTTTTCGGGTGAGCTTCTATTAGAAGATATACAGATTTCAGTTAAATGTATTTGTTGTGTCTCCTGGTGGCGGCATTGTGTGAACCACCAGCCAGACAGTATGTGAGTAGTAGATGAATAAGGACTTTATTCAGGGAATAGGGGACAACAGAATACCTTGGGGCAGGAGAGAGAGATTATCAGAATGATCAGCCCCTTTATCTAGGAGTTCTGACCAAGGGAACAAATAGTTACGCGCGTGATGACAATTAGCACAAACAGTGGTTATTGCGCGCGCCTACTTTGGGTAGATCAAACTAAGGCGGATATTAACTTATAAAACTAATGAAGGTTTGCATAGTCTGCAACACCTCCCCTTTTAACTATGATGAACATACAAAGAATGAACTAGACTAAAAGAGATCCTAGAAATACTAACAATTCTTAAACTAAAGTTTGGGGCATTCCTAGATTAATGATACGATTTCTTATTCGGCTTCATGGCGAACTTTGGTGGTGGTTTGCCGGTACGTGTAGATTTCCGGATGGGTTTTGGAGATGGTGCTGTGGGACTTCCAGGAAGTATTGGCGCTGGAGTCGTTGGTGAACTGTCGGGCAAGGTTGTTGACAACGGTGTCCAATCGATAGCGTCCATTGTGTCCATAGTGTCGAGTGGAACATCGAACGAAGTTGGAGTGTCACGACGGCGCAGTTGATTGGTGTGTCTAATCCAGAAGTTGTTGTTTTCCACAGTGACGCGGTACATTGTACGCCCAATCCGACGTTGAATAGTCCCTGGAATCCAAGTGGTAGTATTTATGCTACGGTAGTCTTTAACATAAACCGGTCTGCAACACCTCCCCTTTTAACTATTATAATATGTATAATATGTTATATTTCATAATTTTCACTTATCTCCCACGTTGAAGTTGCGGCAACGTGCACCATACTGGTTGTTGAACTGCTTCTCCATCTCTGTGTCGTGCGAGTTGGGAAGTTGGTCGGTTGGGAGAAGTTGATCCAGGAATGTACGGATCTTCCGGCCAATGAAGTTCTCAGCGGGTGATGAGCCATTTGGACTGGCGGTACAAGGCGAAGAGCGATAGCTCTGAAGGAAAAGATACAAGGAAGCATCTGTATTTCCCTCCCCCTTTAACTTGCCTAATGCCCTTTTAAGGGTATCCACAAAACGTTCTGCCTGTCCATTTGATTGTGGATGGAATGGCGGGCGATCGTGAATGTGTGATTCCTCGATCCTTGCAGAAGTTCTCGAAACCAGATGAAGTGAACTGAGTTCCGTTGTCGGTTACCAGCGTTTGCGGATCTCCGAATTGTGAAAACACTTTTCTCAGAATATTTATTGTAGCTGTAGTTGTGATGGATGTGGTTGGGAAGACTTCAGGCCATTTGGAGAATGCGTCTACCACGACCAAATAGTAAGTTCCATCCAGTGGTCCAGCGTAGTCAGCGTGTACCCTTTGCCATGGAGCAGTTGGGATTGGCCAAGAACATAGAGTGTTCTTTATTGGATTCTTAGCGACTGATGCACACTGGTCACAACTTCTGACCTTGTTCTCGATGTCCTTATCGATGGATGGCCAGTATACGAGAGATCGCGCCAACTGCTTCATTCTCACGATTCCAGGATGATCCCGGTGAATCATTTTGAGAACCCTTGCCTTGAGAGTGCTGGGAATGACGATCCTGTCGTTGAACATGATGCAGTCGGCCACGATTGACAGTTGGTCTCGTCGGTGGTGGAAAAAAGAGATTTGTGAGCTTTTATCAATGATTTTGGGCCACAAACCTGATACAGCATACTTGTATACTTGACTGAGAAGTGGATCCTTCTTAGAGGCAGCTCGGATCATGTTTGCAGTCACAGCTAGTCGCTCGCAGGCAGATACCAGATTTGTGATGACTTCTGATTCGACTTGAGCAACGACACGATCTTCACATTCTTTTTGCTGGATTTGGTCCGAGATCAATCTTGGCAGAGCATCAGCTTGTCCAAAGTGATTGGTGTTGACGTACTCGATGGTGAAGTCGTAGTTGAGCAGAATGATAGCCCAACGCTGGAGACGGTTTGCACTGTAAAGGGGTATACCTTTTTTATCTCCAAATATTGACAGCAATGGCTTGTGGTCGGTCTTCAGAGTGAAGTGGCGGCCATAAAGGAATTTGTGGAACTTCGTGACAGCCGTGATGAGTCCGAAAGCTTCTTTCTCAATCTGACTGTAGTTCCGCTGTGGTGCTGTTAGAGCTTTGCTGATATGGTAGATAGCCTTCTCGGAGCCATCTGGAAATCTGTGTGAGATTACTGCTCCGATACCGTATTGCGAGGCATCGGCAGCGACGATGATCGGAAGCTTCGGATCAAAGTGTGTGAGCAACAAGTCCGATTGGAGAATCTGCTTGACACGGTCGAATGAATTTTGACATTGAGAAGTCCAGAGGAATTTGGCATCCTTCTTGGTGAGAGCATCCAGTGGTGGGCGGAGCCTGAACAACTCCTTGACAAACGATCCATAGAATTGAATGAATCCGAGAAACCCCTCTATTCTCGTACATCTTTAGTACCTGAATAAATCTGTATTCTATAACTACTATTCGTATTCCTTGAGCCGGCCAGAATGCCGGATACTAAGGACGTAACAGTATTCAGTTGATTATATTTAAAAAAACGATTAATATGTTTTCTGGCAATGAGCATAGTTGCAAAATTTTCGAAATCATCTCAAAAATTTTTAGAAAATTTACTTATTTTTTGACAACATTCTACTTTGTTAACTTTGTTAAATAATGTCATTTTTTTCTTTTTTAATTCAAAAAAATTACCCAATTTTTAATTGGAAAATTTTCAACTATGTGAGATGGGCCGCGCCGAGAAAATTTGTCTACCGGCACAGCCCGGCTCGGCTTTTATGGCAACTATGGTAATTACGGTGACAACTATGGTAATTATGGTAATATGGTAATTATGGTAATATGGTAACTATGGTAATTATGGCAACTATGGTAATTATGGTGGTAATTATGGTGGCAACTATGGCAACTATGGTGACCAATTAAATTTTAGCTACTGCCTGTTATTTCACGTATGAATACCAGCCTAAGCGTGCAATGGGAGGTTGCAATTGAGAACGAGCAGCCAGATGTGCACATTACGGTCCACGAACCATCCTTGTTTACTGTTCTCAACCAGCAGTTTTATCCACCTGACACCCACCTTCGCGTTGATTGTGTCTCGATTTCGATACCTCCAGCAGATGTTACATTTGAGCGGACGGACAGAGAAAGTGGCGATTTTGTGGAAATTGATCAGGAATTGTTGAAGACATATGCAGGAACTTTTGAGAGAAGATTCGTTTGGAACATGACCCTGGATGAAGATACAGAGCTCAGATGCACCAGCACCCGGAATGGAAACGTAAGTATTTTGAGTGAAAAGTCAAAATATCAATACAATTGATAAACAGTTAAATTACGAACGAATTTTTCCTAGTTTTTCAGAAATACCCAGCCACCAAGGCCATCATAGTCGCTGACCAATTTTTCACAGTTTTTTCTGCCTTCGAGAAAAGCGACAAAGCTACATCACGCGAACTTCCAAATGTAATCTACGAGGGAGATAATGTGAAACTGACCTGTGTCGTACCAAATGAAGCAGCGGATTGGGATGTGTCTTGGAGATTTAAAAACAAAACATTGGAATTGTCTGGTACTGAAGTGAGAGGACACTCTAAGCTTTTGGTGCTCGATTTGAAGTGAGTTTTGTTGTACACTATACAATATTTAGTTCAAATAATGTTCTTACAAATAACTCAGCAACTAGCGTACATGGTAAGAATTTTAAAATGAAAAATGAACTGAAGAACCGTGGTTTGGGGAGAGACAAAATATGAGATCAACACATCCCTGAATTGGTAGAAAAAACAGGACAGAGGGAAACCGGGAAAAATCTAACGCATCGGTACGTTTGTTAGCATATTTCGGTTAAAACAATCCAGTTATCACAATTTTTGGTCCTTGTGTGGCCAGAAATATTTTCCATCGATCAAAAACAAGAATTCGCCAAAACGGACTGGAATGAAATTCATTCTAATTTGTTATCTTTTCTACAAACTTCAAGCCAACAAGAAGATCACTAAACAGAAAGACATCGTCACTCGAGATAGTTCTATAAACCATATCAAATCGTTTTTCAGAAAACTAAACATGTTATACCAAATGATACGGAGCGACCCGGGACCAATGCCTGAGTATCTGACAGAGCTTCCCATCGAGGAACGCACAGATTATCTACCGTATCCCAGAAAATTTGAAATCGCTAGAGAAAATTTGGAAATTTGCGCGAAAATGGGCTCAGTGAAGTTCGGATTCGTGGAAAAGGGATATCTGTCTATGGCAGACCCCAAAAGTCAAATCGAATGCAAAACACGACTACCAGTTGCTATTAAAAGTACTAAGAGATCTTTCGACGTGGAGCTTCAGACAATGTTGTTCGAAGAGTTGAAAATCATGTGTGCCATTGAGAAACATCCCAATGTAATTTCTCTTATCGGTGCTGTCACGACTAACATGAGAAAGTAAGTGTTTGTCTCCTTCTAAACATTTTTGAACCTAATGCATTTTTTCAGAGGAGAGATTTACCTTGTCACCGAGTACGCTGATAGTGGAGATTTTCTAAATTACCTACAAAAACGGAAAGATATCTTTCACAACGGGCTTTTTGATGATCAGCAAAAAACCGAATCTACCCGATTTCTTCCTTCTGGTGACAATTTGTCCACATTGGATCTTATTTCTTTTGCGCTTCAAATTGCAAATGGAATGAAGTTTCTGGCAACTGTACCGGTAAAAATTTAAATAATTTTGATAACATCCAATTCGTCGATTTCAGTGTGTCCATCGAGATTTAGCTGCACGTAATGTCCTGATCACATCTTCAAAAATCTGCAGAATTGCCGATTTTAGGCTTGCCAGACGTTACGCAGATAAAAATTACTATAGGTATGTTTTTTTTTCATATTTCCAACAATTCCTTGAAAAAAATGGTTTTAGAATCAAAAATGGCAAACAAATTGCTCTTCCCATCCCTTGGATGGCTCCAGAGGCTCTGGAAACTTTAAAATTCACTGAAAAAAATGATGTTTGGTCATATGGTATCACGCTTTATGAAATTTTCACGTTGGGTGGCCAACCGTATCCACATGTCCAAACTGAGGACATCAAAGCATTCTTGAAAAGTGGAAAACGCAACGAACAACCGGAATATTGTCATTACGACGTGTAAGTTTTTGCTATCCAAAATTTTCTTAAGTTTTCGGTTATATGCTATTTTTTGAACCATCACATTACCATAGCTGCCATAAAAGCCGAGCCGGGCTGTGCCGGTAGACAAATTTTCTCGGCGCGGCCCATCTCACATAGTTGAAAATTTTCCAATTAACAATTGGGTAATTTTTTTTGGAATTAAAAAAGAAAAAAATGACATTATTTAACAAAGTTAACAAAGTAGAATGTTGTCAAAAAATAAGTAAATTTTCTTAAAATTTTTGAAATAATTTCGAAAATTTTGCAACTATGCTCATTACCAGAATACATATTAATCGTTTTTTAAAATATAATCAACTGAATACATTTAACTGAAATCTGTATATCTTCTAATAGAAGCTCACCCGAAAAGCCAACTTTGAGCTCAATTAGCTCGATTCCTGTGGAAGATATCAAACATTTGCCAACTGATGAATATTGATGATATTATGATGAATTATCATTTTGCAGATGTTCAACATTCCTCATTATAAATGAGCTGAAATTTGACTGTTCGGCTGAGCATTTGTTCGAAAAAAATATGGTGACTGCTTGGAAAAAGTTATTAATTTCAGCTACCGACACATGAAAAACTGCTGGCACAAATTTGCGGATGTACGCCCAGATTTCAATACGTGTGTCCACTATTTAAGAGCGCACATAAAAGAATGGTCCAACGAGGTTACATTTCTCACATTTTTTTAGAAGAAACTTGTCAGTTCACAACTTCTCAAAACAATTTTTAGCTCCTCGCCCGTATCGACGAACAACTTCACACGGAACTTGAAAAACAGTACAAACTCGAAGAATGGCTTATGACAAACCGCCCAGACATTCAAGGTGGAACATTTACCAGCAGACCAGAGAATAATTAAGAGCCACACACAAGACGATATCTCATCGGAGAAAATTCGACTTGAATTTTATTATGGCCCAACAAGTTTTCTTTTGAAAATTTTGTGCCAGTACAAGATACTCTTGTCGACTACATGTATTTATGTGTTTCCTGTCGTTTTTTGAACATTTTTTACTGCCCCCTCCGCCCCATGCTAGTTTTTAAACATTTTTTACATTTCAAATTCCCTTTAAAAGCAAAGATGTTCCTTTCCCTCAGACTGTACGGTTTCTGCTAATAGTCAATCAAAAACAATTCTCTCGGTTCCATTTTTTCCTCGTCTGATTCTTTTTCGCACATTTCTACTTGAATTTTTATGTAATAAATTAAATTATTTGGAATTTTTGAGTTTTTCAAAACCGAATCAGGAAATAATTTCCATCAAGAAGTTGGAGAATTGAAAGAAGACCCGGTAAAAAAATTTCCGAGGACTTGAAAAATAAGTTAGTTAGAGATCCACAAATGTAAAGAAAGTGTGTTCCAGTCAAAAAAAAAAAAGAAATTTTGATTATTCGAAGTGTATTCATTTGGTGTTTGGAAAAAAATATATACAACACTGAAAACTTTTAAGTTTTTAAAAATTTTAAAAATTTTTGACTGGTTAGATGAGTATGGATAACGTGGGATAATCAGTCGAAACTAAACTTCTTTAACAAATTCATCATACGCCGAGTTTGGTTGGTACTTCTGTTTATTGGTTGGCTTTTTCTTAAGTGCGGTTCTGTTCTAAAAATTTGAATCGAATTCTCACATTTCGAAAAAAAAAACGAAAAAAATACTAAAAAAAATACTTTCGCAATAAGTCGGAAATTCATCAAATGGTTTTTATCAATGCGATTCAATTGATATTTGCATAATAGTATTCTTCCTAGTTTCTGCTATCAGTGCGTTCTACAACTCCTCCTTACTATTCCTCATTGCTTCATTCTTCTTGTCTTTTTTGTCTTTCATTTCAATCTTTTCTCTCTTTTCTAACAGTTCTGAAACTGTAGAAAGAAGCACAGGAAAAGGCATCCCCATGAAATCTTAATACAGGCCTACTCTGGCTGATGAAACTACATTGACCAAAACCACACATCACGGAATGAGAATACTGCTTGGCATACTGTATTTGGTTACAGCCAATTTTGCAAAGGAATGTTTGGTACAGGTTAGTGCAACAAAAATGCGAAAACGTTCGAAATATATCTAATGAAAAAAATGATCAAAATTTGATATTTGTTGAAATCCGCTAATATCACTTTTTAAATTATTTTGGCTTGTGTAGCTCCTTCCAATTTATTCGGGCTGTTTCTGACCTGTAAAACCTGTCTGTTGTGGTTTGACAAACGCCTTAAAACTTAGACTGGAAAATCAAGATTTTTTTGAATCGTATTTCCTCGACGATTTTCTCACACGAAGCGTGAACTTTGAGCTCAGTTATCTCGCTTCCTGTAAAAGATAACAAACATTTGTCAACTGATAAAATGTTTATCATGATGTCACCAATATTTTCACAATTAACAAATTTTATAATATGTTTCATAGGAATCAAGATTATTGAGCTCAAAGTTAAGTAATGTTATCAGATTTTTTCGTAATTTGGATTTCTGTAGATCTGATAGTTTCGGTGGTTTTAAGGGCAATCAAATTTTAATTTTTTTTCTCCGAGAAGATTTCAAATTAAAAATGATACTGGACGATTGCATTTTAAATTATGATTGAGTCTAAAATCAAATGAAAATCATTGCTGATTGCAATACATCACTGTTCTAAAAATTGAGTGTGCGAAATTCGAAATTCTATAGTACTTCTTGAAAACGCAACTTCCGGAAAATGTTATCAGTACTAGCGACCGAAAGTTTTCAAGACCGCTTCACTCTACCAAGTAAATTTCCTCCTATCAGCGAAGCTATCAGAAAAGTCAAAATTGTCTTTAACCACCATTCCGGTGGTTTTATCGGTTTTTCATCAGAAGAAAATTCTACAACTTTTATTGAACTAATTGCTAATGTTTAGTGAAGTTCTCTGGCGCCATCTTTTATCTCTGCTTCGCCTTACGGAAATTGTCCCTCCGTGTAACTTTTTTTCGAAATTTTATGAATGTTTCGGAATCTTTTTCTGAAATCGAGATAACTGAGCTCAAGGTTGTTTTTTCGTGTGAGTTTCTACAAAAGGAAATACGATATTTTGATTCTAGACGATTTCTAATCTTTACTAAATTTTAGAAAGATGCTAGCAATGACGACTTGGGCGAGGATTTCGAATTTTACTGGGATAAGGGGTTCGAATTGGAAATCATATATCCGTAACCTTCCGTATTGAGCACCTGGAGCTTGAAGACACTAGAACCTATAAATGCGTTTGGAATTTTGACAAAAAGCGTTTCAAAACTATTGATTCTGAATTGCATGTTGCTCCAACAAAAACTCAAATCAAATTGATTGAGAGAAGCCCACAAATTCTAAAATGCAATGACTCCCAAGTGTTACCCTCGAAAAAATCGAGACCTATATGGTTGGATAGAGCGTAAAAAGATATTTTAGATTCCAAACGGAATAGTTGGTAAAAAATTTCTTTTGGGAGTTATGGTCCAAAAAGTACCAAAAAATGCCTAAATTTTTAAAAAATCATAACTTTGTCAGTTTATGCCCGTTTGTTGAAATTTAAAAAATAGTAGATAGACAATTGATTGAACATTTGAGAATAAAATTTTTTAATTTTTTTTCCTATTGATTGGATTATTGATTTTTTGAAAAAATCAAAAAATTTTTCGATATCTCAAAAATCCTAGGTTAACTTTTTTCTCATTATGACCATTGAATTCAGCACACTTGATTTACTATAGAAACATATCAATACCCCGGGGGAAATCATGCTCACACAAGTTATGCCGAAAAATATCGATTTTTGGTACTTGGCTTCTTTGAATTCGTTGTCCTCGGCGGCCGGTATGGTGAGGGGCATACTTGTTTTTGTAATTTTTACTTGCGCATCGTTTGCCTAGAGTGTTTGAAATAAAATCCTGCGACATACAAAGTCAATTTTTCAAATGCCGTACCATTTCTTAAAATCATCATCTTGAAAAAAGCAAAATTTTTACATGTGATAGGGCATATCTATAGTTAAACTTGATAGAAACTGCCAAACTTATTTTTTAACATAATCAGAAGAACAAAATCTTATCAACGGCTTTAACAGAATTTTTAATTAGGCCCTAAAAATAAAAATATTCACTGATGATGGGACACCTTTTGTTTTTGATCATAACTTGAGAACGAAAAAAAATATCAAAAAAATGTTAACGCCATTCGATTTAAAATTAAAAAATACTATTAGACAAATGTTACTGGTTTGTTTCGTATCGTGAAAATAGGTGAAATGGAAAATGGTCGATTTCGGCTGTCCGAAGCTGGAAGGATATCTTTCGGAAATCGTTCATTTAACCTACTTTCACTAGACGAACCAAGCTGGTTTTATTTTTTTAATAGTGATTTTTAAATTTAAATCGAATGGAGTTATCAGTTTTTTGATATTTTTTTTCAATCTCAGGTTATGATCAAAGACAAAAGGTGTCCCATCATCAGTGAATATTTTTATTTTTAGGGCCTAATTTAAAATTCTGTTCAAGCCGTTGATAAGATTTTGTCATTTTAATCATGTTTAAACAAGAGTCTGGCTATTTCCATCAAGATTAACTATAGATGTGCCCTGTCACATGTCACACTTCACCAAAAATAGGGGTCAGGCTCGGAAAATCGTAAATATTTTTGATTCTAGGGCCTAAATCAAAATTCTGTTCAAACCGTTGATAAGATTACGTTCTTCTGATTATGTTAAAAAATAAGTTTGGCCGTTTCTATCAAGTTTAACTATAGATATGTCCTGTCACATGTCAGAATATTGCTTTATTCAGGACGAGGATTTTAAGAAATGGTACGGCATTTGGACAGCTTTGTATGTCGCAGGATTTAAGTTCGAACGCTCTAGGCAAACGATGCGCAAGTAAAACTCAAGTGGATCGTGAGAAGCCGACAAATTCTACGAGGCAAAGAAGTGAAACAGGCTAGCCTGTCAGCAAAATTTGCTTTTTATCCACTGGATGGAAAGAGCTACATTCCATTTGAAAACGAGCAGCCAGATGTGCAAATTACGGTCCGTGAACCGTCTTCGTTTATTGTTTTCAACCAGCAATTTTATCCACATGACACCCACCTCCACATTGATTGTGTCTCCATTTCGATACCTCCAGCAGATGTTACATTCGAGCGGAAGAATAGAGAAAGTGGCGATTTCGAGGAGATTGATCGGGAATTATTGATGAGTGTTGAAGGAACTTTTGAGAGAGGATTTATTTGGAACACGACCCTAGATGACGATACAGAACTCAGATGTACGAGCACCCGGAATGGAAATGTAAGCTTTTATGGTCCGGAATCTTAGCAATTGTTTCTCTTTTTTAGAAGTACACTGCCATCAAATCCATCATTGTCGCCGACGAAGCTTTCACAGTCTTCTCTGCCATCGAGAAGAGCGACAAAGCTACATCATTGGAACTTCCAAATGTAATCTACGAGGGAGACAATGTGAAATTAACCTGTGTCGTACCAAATGGAGCAGCTGATTGGAATGTGTCTTGGAGATTCAAAAACAACGATTTGGAATCGTCGGATACAGAAGTTAAAGGACATTCAAAGCTTGTGGTGCTCGATTTGAAGTGAGTTTTATTGTAAGTTTGAAGGTTGAGGTAAAAAGCGAAAAACTCGATTATGAAGAACTGAACCAAACATTCATTCACATCAAATTCCGGGTTGGGCCGAGCCTGGTTGAAAAAACTCCTCATGACCGGCCCAACTCAGTCGGTTTGGACAGCTAATTAAAAAAAAGAAAAAATTCATCGAATTTCACCGAAAAAAATGTTTCTGAGTTATTCCGTCCTTACGAAAGTATCGGAACTATGAAACTTTTTAAAATTTAAATTAAAATTTCAAAATTTAAAACTTATAGAATTTGACCCGGGCCATGCCGAGTCGAACAGTTTTTCATTTTGGCCCGTCTCGGCTCAAAACTATGATTTTCTTTTAGTTCGACCAATAAACATTACAGAGACATCACACCAAGCTCCAGTGGAAAATACCAATGTGTTGTCAAGAAGGGCGAATCCGAAGAGTTCCAAGAAATCGTGCTTAAAGTGGAAAGCATTTCCAAACCATATCACACGGACGCTGAATCTCGTTCAACGGTTACTGTCAACTACGACGAAACGTTTGTTATCGATTGTGGAATGACTGGAAATCCACTTCCGGATGTAAAATGGTTCAAAGATGGACATCCATATACTAGTGGTGATATGGAAGGGAGTATTCTCAAAGTGAGCAGAGCTCGTGCTGAGGATGATGGACAATTCCAGTGTTTAGCTGTGAACCGTGCTGGACTCACCAGCAATTTCATCGAGGTTCAAGTCGACAACGTCCCTGAACGATCTTCATTCTTCTACTGGTTCTTAACAATCCTCGTCCTCGCTGCCATCATTCTAATTTGTTATCTTTTCTACAAACTCCGAGCCAACAAGAAGATCACTAAACAGAAAGACATGTGAGTCACTCGAGATAGTTCTATAAACCATATCAAATCGTTTTTCAGACAACTAAACATGTTATACCTCATGAAGCAGAACGATCCGGGACCACTGCCTGAGAATCTGAAACTGCTTCCCATTGAAGAACGCGCCGACTATCTTCGGTATCCCGAAGAATTTGAAATTGCCAGAGAAAATTTGGAAATTTGTGAGAAAATCGGCTCTGGAATGTTTGGATTTGTCAATAAGGGATATTTGTCAATGGCAGATCCTAAAAGTCAAATCGAGTACAAAACACGTCTTCCAGTTGCTATTAAAAGTACAAAAAAATCATTTGACATGGAGCTTCAGACAATGTTGTTCGAAGAGTTGAAAATCATGTGTGCCATTGAGAAACATCCCAATGTAATTTCTCTTATCGGTGCTGTCACGACTAACATGAGAAAGTGAGAGCCTCTCTCGTTCTGAACATAATTTTCAAATCCAATTGTTTTTCAGAGGAGAGTTCTATCTTGTCACCGAATACGCTGATAATGGGGATCTTCTGAACTACTTGCGAAAACACAGAGAGACATTTCACAATACGCTAATTGATATGGAAGAACCCGTAGTCAATGAAAACTATTCGGTACCATCTCAGCAAATCGAATATACCCGTCTTCTCCCTTCTAGTGATATTCTGTCCACAGCGGATCTTCTATCTTTTGCACTTCAAATTGCAAATGGAATGGAGTTTTTGGCGGCTGTACCGGTAAGAATTTTAATAATTTTGACGTCATCAAACTCATCAATTTCAGTGTGTCCATCGAGATTTAGCTGCACGAAATGTATTGATCACATCCTCAAAAATCTGCAGAA